GTGCTAGTATTTGTCTGTAGTCATGTGCATGCACGTGTGCATGTACGTGTCAGTGTGTGAGCGCATGCGTTTGTGTGCTCATGTATGTGCATCTGATCTCATCCAAACATAGACATGTTACTCCGTTGTGTCTATTTGACAGAGACATGTTTCTCTGTTGTCTATTTGAACCACTGCCAGACCCTGTTAAGATTTTGTAGTGCCTACCTTCTTCTCCCGAATACAACGTACGGTCATTATAGCTGTGTATTTGGGGCATCTTTCAGTCTAAATACGGTTATAATGACCGCACGTTGTGTTCGGGGGAAGACAGTGGAAGTCTGGAAAGAGGCTGGGTGGAGGGGCAGTGGACAAGAGAGAAACCGATATTGATTTGGGGGATGGAGGGGGTGTGCCATCGTGCCCATTCATTTGCCACATCACAGTTGCGAGTTGTTCAAAAGCAGTGCTGAAGCGCGAGCCCTCCTGGACCCCTGGTGATTAGTGCGCTCATCTGTCCTTGTTCAATATACAACTGCATGCGAGTACATGCGCTTCATGCAGGATAGACATGAGCGGTTCTGCTTTGTGTGCTGTTGTGCGCATGCATGCATTTGTGCATGGGTTTCATAGTTGTGCTTGCGCATGAGGGTCTACATCGGTGTTGTGCTTGCACATGAGGGTCTACATCGGTCCAAAGAGATTGACACAAGTTTTCCCAGCGAGTCTATTGGGTACACAGTCTACAGACGTCCATCCTCGCACACACAATGGTGTGAGTGCGTGGGTGCATGTGTACCGCAACACAACGATACAACAGGCCACCTGGAGGCAGAGCGGCACTGACGAGGCAATCCCCGCACATGTAGCACGGAACCAAAGCGGACAATCACCCACTCACACCACAGTGCGAACTCGTCTACAGACTGTAGGTCCACAGACATGTCCATTGAGCACAGACGCTGCAGTCCGCAGACCTGCACGTGCACTCATACACGTGTGCATGAGTCGGTGTGTGTGTGTGGCAGCATGGCAACACACACCCACTCACATAAATAGAACTCTTCTACAGACTGTATGTTCATACCGGCACCAAGATTCCGGGAGTCAGTATGACAAATGTCCGTCGCCATCAGGGAAGTTGAGGGAACCCATAGACAGGCATCCGCGAACACAGCAGCCCCTCTGATAGTGTTACAGGGCCATACAGGCACCTCTAACGAACCGGGATTGACTATTTGGCACATATTGAAGGTGCTCACTGGACAAGAAGATCATGCGGAATTGTGAAAGGATCACAACAGGCACAAAGTGGACCACAGAATGAACATATCGAGGAGCAAGCAATGAACTTACCAAAAGAGTACGCGCCAATGTGTTTGTGTATCCATGTGTACATGTCCGTGTGTGTTGTTGTATTCGCTATACGTTAAAAAAAAATCACGACTGTTCCCGACTGTTTTGTCAGACTGTCACCGGCTCATCAGCAGGTTGTGTGTGGGGGGATGGGTGGGTAGGTCGATGGGTGCGTGAATGTGGATGTCGTGTGAGTGTGTGGTCAAAGCCAGCAATTTCAAGCACAAAGTGTGTACTGCGCGTCCCACTGGGTGTGTGAGTGCGCACCCTCAACGCTAGTCCGAGCACAAAGAGTGTGTACTTCAAACTACAATCCTCCAAATAGGAATCGACGGATGAACACTGCACAATAGGCCTCCAGCTCCAAGCGGCCCATGTTCTTCGCAATGCCCTCACAAGTACCTGCCACTTTGCCGACATGCCCTCAAGAACTTCCCAACATTTTCCTGTTTCCCCCCTAAAAACCCTGGGTCTTCCTAGGCATGCTGTACCCTGCTGCCAGTGGCCTGAACAGTTGTTCCCACCTATGAATCTATATGATCTTACAACTTTCTAGTGTCTCTCTAGAGTCTCATCTATATGATCTTACAACTTTCTAGTGTCTCTCTAGAGTCTCGTCTCAACACACACACACACAAGTCGAAAAGCCTCTTTCACTATTGTTTTGACAAGTTCCCACCCTTCTCCAACAACTCCCCTTATACTGTCCTTCCCACCGTCTTTCCAAATTCGTCACCAGGACGACTCTGTAGGAAGGGCTCAGGTCTGTGAAACTCAACCATTCGATCTGGATGCCATCACGAATCTCAACCGTTCGATCACATGCCATCAATCGCGCACACAGCGAGCGCAACATGTCAGCTCGTAAGAAGTATTAGAAATGGGACCCCTCAACCAATGGACTATTTGGCAGTAATAAAGCTGGCGAGGGTCTTTGGGTATTCGCCAATGCTAAAACCACAGCCTTGATAAATACCCAAGGTCTGCGACAACTAACCAGAAGGCCTGCGAAACTCTTTCGCCGCCAAGCTTGTCAGCATTCTTTGAAGCAAAAAAAACACGGCTCACGGTGAGCGATGAGAACAATGATTCGGATTTACCGTCACCTTCCTTCTCTCTCCGCTTGTCTAGCACCCCTTAGCACCCCTCTGCACTATATCGCACCTCTTAGCACCCCTCTGCATACAATGCCAGCAACCCTTAGCACCCCGGTGTATACAATGTCGGCACCCCTTCGCACCCCTCTGTACTATGTCAGCACGCCTTGGCACCACCCGTGTATTATGTGAGCACCCCTTCTTTCACTTCATCGCAGATCAAGTCATCCTATCCACGTCCTACGGCTCAGATCAACCAACGATTGGATGGATGCCATGCCGGCCTCCTTACCGTCACCCTCCTTCCCTACTCCTCCCCTGTTCTCAATCTGTAGTACGTCAGCACCCCTCTTTCAATTAGGTACAGCTCAAGTGATGGCACCAACCAATGGTCATGCTTGGCTGTATACAAGTCGACTGCATATGGAGTTAGGGTCAGATCCCACTACCCTGGATTATTCATTTTTCACCCTCGATTATGAAGATCAACGGTCAGAAATGAACAATAGGGGCTAGTGGGATCTGGCCCTTAGTATGGTATCATTGAAACTCAAATCTCTCAGCAGCAGAACCTCAGTGGTCTGACTGATCTCTCTGGTCCCACTGCCCCTTTCCCATTGTCCCATCTGGTCCCGCTGCTCACTCCGTTCTCACTTATCCCTCTGGTCCCATTAATCCGTCTGGTCCTACTAATCCCTCTGGTCCCACTCATCCCTCTGGTCCCATTGATACCTCTGGTCCCATTGATACCTCTGGTCCTACCAGCTCCCCAAGCCCCAGTGGACCCCAATGGCCCAGACTTTGTTCCATCAGCCAACACTTTGTTCCGCTCATTCCACTGGTAAACCTGACCTTGAACATAGTGCATAGCGGCAATTACACAGGACAAACCAGGTTGCAAAACTGATTCGTTTTCAGACTGAAGGTAATAAGCACTTAAGCTGCCAGTTCACCTGAACAAGAAAAGCACTCTTACCAGTGTACAAGTGGCACGAGATTTTCGATTCGGTTATGGGCCAGTCGTGAACGCTGCGGGCCCCTTCGAAAAGGCCCAATCGAAGGCTCTTCTTAAGCCTTCTTTTTGGAAGGGACCTTTGTCAACCTACGCTCCTGTGAAATTAAAACAATGATAATTTGATAATTTATCGCTAATAACATGCAAACTGCCGATTTTAAATTTTCGGATTTTGCTGAAGCAAATGCGGCAGAGGCTCTCCAGCACTTCCTGGTGTGTCGAAGGCAGTTAGTAATTGAGAACAAGGTAGAATTGAAAGGGAGAGGGCATCAAACAGATCATCTGATTGGCAAGCAGAGGATCAAATAGGGTCAGGTGAATGGGATTGGCTCATGCGGTGTGGGCGTGGGTGTGGGTATATGATACCGTCTCACCCAGAATGACAGTCACGCTGTCCCTCCGCCTCTCGCCCGGTCTACCATTGACCCTGCCCCCATCTCCTGCCAGTCTATCCCCGCGGCAATAGTTCTACTTCGCAGGCACAAGTCAGCGTCCTCGCATGCTTTATGCGCTACAGATAGAATCATCCGCACGATCACAGTCTCCGCCAGAAAAAAAGCACCAACGGCCATGGGCTCAGGATGATCTCAACTGCCGTCCCATCTCCAACAGCTTTGGCCAAATCTGACAGTTATTACCTTCACCTCCGCTGCGCGCTTTTTCACTTCCGATGTCCTAGTACCAAGTCTGAACACCAAGTCATTGATGGCGCCAAGGCACACTGGTCACGCCGGTTGCCGGTGAAGGCAACTTCGTTGCGAGTTTGAAAAAAAATAAAAAAACAAAGCAGCCTATTTTACACGACAAACACAAGCCGCTTATTGTACTACCAGTGTCCATTATCCCCGCCTGCTATTGCTACAAAGACACGTGGGATGAAGAAAAACAGTGCCAGAATTGTCATTCCGTAGGAATCTGGAGGGGGGGACTTGGTCGCATTCCCTCTCTCTCCTTAGTCCACGGAGCTTCCATAAAAATAGCACTCGTTTTACTATCAGTGTCTTATGGTTGATTTCTCTGACGAGATATCAACACACGACAAGTGGGCGAGGGAGGTGACGACCCGCTGCAAACGACAATTACGCGAGGGATGTGACGACGCACTACAAACGACAATTACGCGAGGGATGTGATGACCCACTACAAACTATCTATGTGTGTGCCATTGTCACTGCTATGGACTACACCACCCACCATCTCTGCCAGTCTCTCGCCCCTCGTCCAATCCCTCCTCTCCCCCCTCACCTCCTCCCCTCCCCCCCCCGGACAACCTCGCGAGGCAGGTGATGACCCACTACAAACTATCTATGTGTGTGCGATTGTCGCTGCTATGGACTACACCACCCACCATCTCTGCCAGTCTCTTGCCCCTAATCCAATCCCTACTCTCCCCCCTCAACCCCCTCCCCCCCCCCCCCCCCCCCCCCCCCCACCCTCTCTTTGCAACAAGGCCAAAACCTGTTCAGACTAGAATCTGCTGATTCTGTTCAGGTTTTAGGATTAAGAGAATAGAAACCTCAAAGTTTCAAATCCAGATGCAAACAATTGAACAGAATCAAATCATTCTCGATAATCTGCGGCCAGTCCGTTCGATGATCATATCTGAAGGCCGTGGCCCTTTTTCGAAGGAAAAGGAAAAAAGACAAATGAAGAAAAAGAATGAAAAAAAAAAGAAAGAAATCTGCTTAGGTACAAACCTGTCACACTTTTGGGATAGACACCCCACCTGCAACGACCTACCGCTTCCAACGATCACCAGTTGATATCCAGCTGGACAAACCTACAAGCCCATTGGCCTCAGACCTGACAAATACGACAATACAACAGAATATCCCAGTTCGTTGGGGTGTATTAGACCCACAGTTCTGAATTGAATTCCTACAAGCCCATTGGCCTCCGACGCCGGGAACGGGAGTGGTGCGGCCTGAGATCAAGAACAGATAAAAAATCGCTTAACAGGCGAACACTATGATTTCCTACACAGATGGTTGCCCGAGGCAAACGCATCTCACCCGCTGAAATGTCCTCGTGACCGACACGAGCTGACTGCAACCTAAAAGGCAATAGGAGATTCGCTCAAGTCCCTCTAGCAGGATTGGCTCTCTCCCCTTTCTTCCTTCGTTCCTTCCCTCCTTCACTTGCTTCCTTCGCTAAGTCCCTCCCTCCCTCTCTCCCTCCCTTTCACCCCCGTTCCCTCCTTCCCTCTTTCAATCTCTTCCTGCCTTCACGAAGACTCCTTCCCTCCTTCGCCGCTTTCGTTCCCTCCCCTTCTCCATCTGCCCCTCTATCCCTTTCCCTATCCCTCCCTTTGTCCCTCTGCTGCTGTCCCTCCTCCTCCTCCTCCTCCTTCCCTTCACTCTCCCTTTTCCTACAACGCTTGGCCAATGGATGACAACATTGACAAGTGATCTCTGTCCTTGTACGTTTCACTCCTCTACTTGTTCACAATTCCCCTCGACTCTCTGTCCATAATCCTGTCTCTCGTCCTCCCCTCCTTTCTTGGACCGAATCGCTCCTCTCTCCTGATAGCTGATGCAAGCAGATCGATTTACCCTCCATATGCACTGCGATTTCACACCATCCCCTACAGCGCCTTTGTCTGCACTACAGCTTAGCTTTGCTGTACCTCTGCTGGACAGACAGACTGTGTGTTCCATCTGTTCATGGGTGTAGCAGGATTTGAGCCCGCGACCACTTTTCTCTTACAAACCCTTTGCAACTCCCCTTCCAGAAGTTTTCTTCTCTGGAAGCAACACATCCACCGAGACAACCAGGAATCGGCCCACCACCTCCCGTTGCCTGTTGCGTAACTGCACACACACGTCATTCCTCGTCCTACTCTTATAGAAACCAGGTAGTCGCTGCAGTCTCACTTGAATCCGACAAGCCCGCCTGTGAACGGCTTCAATTGCCTTTTCCATAAACGCGCGCGCATGATTTCACAATCCTCTCCTTGTCTTTCACTCTCAAGAACCGAGCTAATCGTCGCAACCACTTGAACCCGACAAGCATCGTTGCAGGACATCTGCACCTTAAGGAATGATTTACAAATCAATGTGATTAAAAAAAAACAAATCAGAGCACTCACTTGAAGAAGAAACTTGTTGATCGAGGCACTCACCGTGTCAGACGTCAGCGGTCATAAAAATGAACTGATGGATGATTGATGCGCCACACTTGGAAAGCTGCAGAAGCAAGTTTTTCGTTGATTGGTGCGTACACCACCATGTCATACTTCAATTTTCAAAAGCAAACTTGTTGATTAATGCCCTCACCGCGTAGAACTGCAAAATTAAAAAGAACCAGACTCTTGTTGACAGACCTGCAACCCAATCCTTTCTCGGCTGAATAACAATTTATAACTCTACTTACGATGCTCCGCTGCATCATAGGGAGGAGCTGTGACTGTCGACAGACGAACTCACGTTATGTTCACTTTGAACGTTGAAGCGAAATCACATGTGATCGTCTTCACCTTTAGAATTCAAGCTCGAAATGGATTTAGTCATCAACTCGTCGCCGTTCATTGGTCGTATGGGTGATCCCGAGGTCATTGCCCCGTACCCTGTTGTTGAGATTGCATGTAGCTGTCGCAAGATAAAAAGAAAAAAAGAAAAAAGAAAAAAAAATAAAAAAAAAATGAGGGAGGGTTGGGGACATCCGCGGGGCGAGAGAGAGACCACACACACAAACACACAAACACAAAAACACAAAAACATCATTAAAGCAACAGAATGCACACAGTTTAAGGTCCAAATCACTGCTGTGGAAACAAACAAGCCACCGAACGAGAGCCAGTAATTCAAATTACATGTGAATCATCTTGGGTAAATTCCACTCTGAGGCGTCTGAGCTCAAGCCACCACTACCTCCGAGCCTCTCGTTTTCCAGTGGCAGATTTGTGCTGCGCAGTGCGCGCCAACTTAAAAAAGGAACCAGTCTGCTACTCGTTTCTTCGGGAGGCTGACCCCGCGGAATGCAGAGGTATTGTTGTAATTTGTAAACCAATTGGTCGCAAAAGTTCGCCTGCAAAATGTAGTGGCGGTTTAAGAAAAAGAAAAAGGAAAAACTTCTCAGGCGACTGTCACAGCTCATTGGCTCAGTAACAACTTACTAAAAACTAGTAAATACTAAAAAGTATAAAAAA